TTATTTACATAAAGGTTTAAAATATTATACAGGCAGGATTTCAAGAAGATCGTAATGATCTCACGAAGCTTTAACGAAATTCTATTTTCTTCTGCAATAAAAACATCTATATATTATATAAAATAAATATATACCGAGGATTTATAATCACTAAATATATCATGAATTTGATACTCTATTAATTCAAAAGTGAAACTCAAAACATAAAAAATTAATATGCTGTATAGCAACTGAAAATATCAGAATATTTTTTCAAGAATATTTTTTGTTAAAAAAATGTTTTTTTTTAATAGATTGTTTGAAAAAAGAATAGTTTTGTTTTTTTATCGTTAATTTTGTTTTTCCATCATTGACCAATTTAGATGAAAAAACAAAGTTAGGCCGTACTATTTTATTCCAGAGAAAAGGTCCACGATAAGATATGCAAAATTGAGCTTGTTTATTATTGTAAAAAGGTTTTTCTTTTAAATGCTATTATTACGTAGGTTATATTTGTTTTGGGGTTTAATTTTGCAAAGGTTTACAAATTCATCGGGGGACATAAGTTCTTTACATTTGTACATAATACATTAAATACATTTAGTTGATAAACATTTGAGACGTCCATTTCTTTCTCTAAAAAGCGGTTTAGAGTTCAAAAAAACGATTTTAAAATTTATTATGCGAGCTGCGTGTTTCTGATGCCGATAAAGAGATTTAAGTTTAGTTTTATGTCCCAGCCAGGAAGTCATATCTGTCTAAGTAGGCAACTTTATGGGGCCCAAATGGGTTGCCCACATCCCGCCCTAGGAAAATTGTTGCTTGGCCTGAATTGGGGCCCATATGGTCTGCATATGTGGTACATATGTGGAATCTGCTTTCAGTTTTCTTCCAGCACGTCTAGTTCTTGAGATATTTGGAATTTTAATTTTCTGACATTCTGTACTTTATCCCTATACATAAACATTGATAAACATTCAATATTTCAAGCATCACTTATTTTTCTATACAAATAAATTAAAGTCTCTGTGGCTAGGTTTATTTGTAAACATTTATACATAATTAATAGTTTAAAAACTGTTGACTAAACCATATAATTCACTTAAAATCTCTGTGAATATGACTTCTTTTTGTATACTTTTTCTGGTTCATTACGATAAAGCATCCTACAGCAGTCAGCTAACATGCTTTTATTCCAGAATCCTTGGTAACGCTTTTCCATCACTTGAATATCTTGGTGGAATCGTTTACCGTGTTCATTACTCACAGCGCCCAAATTTTCAGGAAAAATGCCAAATGCGAACGCAGAAAATGCATTTTCAATGAAATACAACAGCCCACTTTTTGGAACGAATTGAGTAGCTTTTGAATACAATTTTCATATTCTTACGATTTGTGATTCCCCAAGAAGTTCTTACAAACCCATACAAACGTTTTCCACGCTTCATTTTTGTCGGAAGTAAGTGACTCTTCAAATCCATGGTCTTTCAAAACCTCTCGAATTTGGAGTCCGACAAAAAGGCCTTCTTTGAGTTTCACTGCACTAATTTGGGGAAATTTTTAAACAAGTATTGAAAACCCGCTGATTCAGTTTTACCAATGCTTTGTGGCGGCCCGGGGGATAATATTTCTAGCGGCCCTCTATAAAATAAAATAAAAAAATCACATAATATATAAATAATGTGTTATTTAACTCTTAGGTACCTCAATTAACAATTGAGGTACCTAATTGTTTACTGCATATAAATATATTTTGACATTATCATGCACCCAATAACTTTAATAATTTTTCCTCCATATATTTTTAATGTACCTAAGTAGCAGCAACTGCGATTTATGTTAGTGGCCCTTTGTAAATAAGATATCAGTGGCCCACCGGGGCTTCCCTCGGCATCCCGGTGGATAAGTCAAACCCTGTACCATTGCGCGCACATTTAACCAGTATTCTCTTTTCTGACCACCCTAGTCTTTGTACGGGTTGAGATTGTTGTGGAAAAAGAAGATATTTTAGTGAAAAGCGATTATTTTAGAGTTAGAAAGATAGCGTAGAGGAAGACAGATCGGTCAATTAAGAAACGCAGGAACTAGAAAACGCTAAGGCCGATTAAGCACTAATATTTTTAGTGTATATTTTTATTCCAACACGAAAACGATAACAAAGAAGGTACTAAAAGTTGTACGCATTTATTGTCTTTTTATGTCGTAAAGTACGTACGCGTTTTTTAACGAAAATGAGAAACCACAAGAAAAAAATTTTTGAAAAAATTATTGTATTTTGGGGACTTTATTAATTGTGGTTTCTAATTCTGTAAAAAAAGTGTTATAAAAATCCATAATATAAAGAAATCTTGATATAGCCACTATATATATCTTTCTTCAACGAAAATTAAAACTATATTATTTTCTCAAGACACATGATTATTAATGGACCAAGTCTTTAAATAAACATGCGGCTAAGTTTAGTTAAGCGATAAATTTTTTCACTGATTTTCCACGCTTCATAATACCTCACTATCGCGCGATTAGGTGGCGTTTAAATTTAGAAAATAAGATGGAATTTAACCTTTTTTAACTACATAAATGGGCATTAAATGGGCCCCATGTGGGCTAGCCCTTGTATACAAAATATTTTGTATTCAAGGGCTAGCCCACATGGGGCCCATATATAAAAAACACATAGGGCCCACTTGGGCAAACCCATATGGGCCCCAATAGTACATGATCGCTTGGGTGTACTTCTCCATATAATATTTGCATAATTGAGATGACAGTGAATAAAAGAGTAATATAATAGTGTTAATTGCTTTTTGTTTTAGATTTGTATAGAATTCCAATATTTTTTCAACTTTATCAGAAATATTATTGAAGTGTGATTTCCAAGACAGATTTTCTTCAATAAAAACTCACTTGTCACTTTTTCTCTTTTTAGGATGACATAGTCTATAAAAATATCAGGCATGTTTACAGGAACTATCTGTTTTTTATAGTTTGGATGGAAAAGTATCCATTTCGTTTTTTCAATATTTAAAGATAGTCTTTTTTTTTTAAACCAAATTGAAATTTTTTTAAATTCTCTGTTCATATTATTAAAAAGTGTGTTTATATTTTCATGATTGAAACAAGTTTGTGACGTCTGCAAAAATTATAGTCTTTAAATTGGATACTTTGTTAAGATCATTTATATATATAATGAAAAGAAGTGATATTTTAGTAAAAAGCAATTGTTTTAGAGTTAGAAAGATAGCGTAGAGGAAGACAGATCGGTCAATTAAGAAACGCAGGAACTAGAAAACGCTAAGGCCGATGGTTCAAGTATGGATCCTTGTGTGACACCATAAGCTATGTTCATTAATGTTTGAGGTTGGGAATCTTTATTAAGAACAAAATGCTTTCAGTTGGAGAGAGAACTTTCAAGTTTTTTAAGCAAAATATTATAATCGACCACGTTTAAAGCCTTTGACAGGTCAATGAAAACTCTAATTGTAAATTTTTGATTTTTAAAAGATTCTTTACAACGTGTTAATTGAGAATAGCATGATCGGTTAAATTGTTTTTTTGTTAACCGAACTGATTTTCATAAAGGAGTTTATTGGTAATTAGGTATGTGTACACTCTGTTACATTATTAACATACATACATTATTCTTTCTAATATTTTTAAAAAATAGTAACATAGAAAACATGTCAATCATTTATTGCATATATTTATAAACGCGTTCGATCGCGTTGCAAAAAGTATTGGGTTATATCTACACCTCTCTGACAATCGTAATAAAGACTTTTTACACATTATTTTAAACAATATAAAAGAAAAAAGGTAACAGCATTTATATTTTGTTATTATTGCAAGAAGATAATAAGCTATAAATATATTTCAAAATTACTAAAAAAAGCCCAACGAATAAAATTAAAATTGTGAAGAAATAAAGTTGAACCCATATTTTATCAAATTTTTGTTGCTTAAATATCTAAAAAAGACCCCTTAACAATTTTTTTATCTATAAAAACAGTTTTCGAATTATAAAAAAAAATATTTATCAAAAAATCCATTTTAAAATACTATATACACGAATCCCAATAAAATTTTGTATACACTTTTTTGACTTTTAACAAAGCCTTTTAACCCACTTTGCCAAGTATAAAACTTTTATCAACATATTAAATCCTTTTGAAATTATTATCAGCTGTTATGAAATGTCTATCGCCGCAATGATTAAAATGGCTTCATGCGTGTTTTGTAAAAATAAGTTGGGATTAATTTTTTACAAAAATTCTTTGGGATCGCCAAAACGCCGAATTCTAAAACGCCGAAAAACCATCTTAGAGTAACAGAATAAAAAACGGAATGAGAGCAATGAATTACCGGTAGTCAACCCCCGCGTTATTAACGTTTAAATTATTGTTTCAAATTTAAAAAAATCCAAAACGTTAAATTAAAAAATAGAATGCAGCTGTAAATTTTGTTTAAAGAGACAGAACCAAAAGCCAAATTTGGCTTGGTCCTTTTAAACTTTGCATTTACAAATGCGCAATAAAAAATCCGGGGGACATTTAACTTTTCGTTGTCTTTTTAGACGGTTACCGAATTCTATTATTACGCCATTTTTTTCGGCATTTCGGCGTTTTAGGCGACCCCAAATTCCTTACATAACAATATTACACAACCCCCCTTATATAAAAAACACAAAAGTACTAACGCAAGACGAATTACCTTTGCTTTTTAACTTTAATTAAAAAATTTTTATAATTAGACCCGTTTAAAATTGTAAAAATTGAGTCTGACGGATAGTATCGGCGGACAAGTTATTAAAGGGTTTTAAACATTAGTCTAGAAACAGCTTAAACGCTTTTAGAGATAATGCTGATATAATGTCTATAGGAAGAGAGTTCCATTTATTATTTATTCTTAGAGAAAAAATTGATACCTAAACTTAATCGTTATACTATTTGTCAAGAAAAAAAACGTATCTAATATTGAATTGTCCTTTGTTTATCTATTTAATCTATTTAATAAGGCTTATCTAATATGGAGATACTATTGTTCCAAAAAACACAATATAAAATACAAACTTTTATATTTTTATTTATAATAATTATTTTACAATACTGTTTCCTTATTTCCACATATTTTAAAATAATTAAAAATACTTAACTTTACATTATATATTTAAAAAAAAAAAAAAAAAAAACTACACATATATTCAGCCACCTCTCAATCGAAGGACAAGATGAAGGGTAGATTCTTTTTGAATGTTGTAGTCACTGAGAGTTCTCCCATCCTCTAATTGCTTACCAGCAAAAATTAAACGCTGCTGGTCTGGTGGAATACCTTCCTTGTCTTGAATTTTAGCTTTTACGTTGTCAATCGTATCAGCAGGTTCAACCTCTAAAGTGATGGTTTTACCAGTAAGGGTTTTTACAAATATTTGCATACCTCCTCTTAATCGAAGAACAAGATGAAGGGTGGATTCTTTTTGAATATTGTAGTCACTTAATGTTCTACCATCTTCTAATTGCTTACCAGCAAAAATTAAACGCTGTTGATCTGGTGGAATACCTTCTTTGTCTTGAATTTTAGCTTTTACGTTGTCAATCGTATCAGCAGGTTCAACCTCTAAAGTGATGGTTTTACCAGTAAGGGTTTTTACAAATATTTGCATACCTCCTCTTAATCGAAGAACAAGATGAAGGGTGGATTCTTTTTGAATATTGTAGTCACTTAATGTTCTACCATCTTCTAATTGCTTACCAGCAAAAATTAAACGCTGTTGATCTGGTGGAATACCTTCTTTGTCTTGAATTTTAGCTTTTACGTTGTCAATCGTATCAGCAGGTTCAACCTCTAACGTGATGGTTTTACCAGTAAGGGTTTTCACAAATATTTGCATACCTCCTCTTAATCGAAGAACAAGATGAAGGGTGGATTCTTTTTGAATGTTGTAATCACTTAATGTTCTACCATCTTCTAATTGCTTACCAGCAAAAATTAAACGCTGTTGGTCTGGTGGAATACCTTCCTTGTCTTGAATTTTAGCTTTTACGTTGTCAATCGTATCAGCAGGTTCAACCTCTAACGTGATGGTTTTACCAGTAAGGGTTTTCACAAATATTTGCATACCTCCTCTTAATCGAAGAACAAGATGAAGGGTGGATTCTTTTTGAATGTTGTAATCACTTAATGTTCTACCATCTTCTAACTGCTTGCCAGCAAAGATTAAACGTTGTTGATCTGGCGGAATACCTAAACGCAATTCGATTTGTTATATAATATATTGAAACCTCAAAATAATATTTTAAATCAAAATTAGTAAAAAAAGTGACGGGCATTAAAAACCAACAGAAACTAGGTAAATAACGAAGATTTTCGTCTTACAGCTGAAAAGTAAATTTAAGTCAATATTAATTAAATAATTAAATTAGACTTAACAACGCCTAAAGGATTCATTTTTAACAGAAAAAAAAAAGCAAAATGGATGTTAAATGAAAAATAAGTTTTGGGTGAGTCGCTTTAACGTCTGCCACCGGTTATTACTTAATTTTATTAAAATAAATATTTAAAATACCCTCTTTATCTTGAATCTTTGCTTTAACATTCTCAATAGTATCGGCAGCTTCTACTTCTAAAGTAATAGTTTTGCCAGTTAAAGTTTTCACAAAGATTTGCATCTTAAATTACTTCTTGAAATTCAACTTTCCAGTTGTAAATCTGTCTTTGATCGGGGCTTCTGTGATATGAAAGAAAAGCGGTCTCAATTCAGAATTTATAGAATTTTTCTATTGGTTAAAAACATCATGTGATCAATTTGAAAACGTCTTGTGACTTTTTTGTTAACGTGTTATTGGATGGTAGACTTTGTTTTGTTTGATCCAGGCTTTTCTAGAAAATGCAAAGTTTGCGTTTCATCACGTAGCATTACATAAACTATTCCGTTGTAATATTACGTCACTGATTATCTCTATGAAAATGCTTTTTTTTAAATACGTAAATTAAAAAACTTCATAGCTTATAATTAAAAATGAACTTCGCAGTTTATAATAGCGTACCGTTATGGGTCTAAAAATAGAATTTTTTCCAGAAACGTAAGGCACTTTGGGATCGATATTCGGACAAACATTGCACAGAAACAAAAGAGTTTCTTAAAAAACGCTAGTAGTTGTGGGATTGATATTCGGACAAACAAACAATTTGACGTCACCATAACGGTACGCTATTAAAAATAGACTATTTTAATATGACTTAAGTTTTTAAAATCTTTAAAATTTTTTCTTAGAACTAGTAAATTTAATTGTAACAAAGTAGTTTTTTAACTTTGAGTTATTTTATTTACAAATTATTCAAGCATGAGAGTAACAACTGCGTCATAATTCCAAAGAATAATATCGTAAGGATAAAACTAAAGACATTCCTAAGGATATACTCTTTTTTTCATCATTATGCATGGCCGTAGAAGTAGTAGTAATAAATACATGGCCGTAGAAGTAGTAGTAATAAATACAATTTTATTTTTTTTTTTTTTTTTTGTAATAAATACAATTTTGTTATGTTTCTGAGAACTTTTTTTTTTTGTCAAAATATTTTAATGATTTTTTTATTATCTTGGATTTTTATTCTTCAATCTTTAATTTTTTAATGGTTAAAATTATCAGATATACCTATACACTCAACAATAAACAGCGGCATTACTTGAAACAAATTGCGAGGATCTTATTACACAGCCCCGTACAGTATGGTTAATTTTAACAAATTCAGTTTTTATGACTGTGGTTTTAATAAGTTACAATGTTCGTTATGAAACAATAATACATTTTGGTGTATAAAATCTAAAAAATAATTAAAATAAATTGTTAAACAAAACAAAATACAAAAACAATCAAAAAAAAAATGTCTTTTTTGTAAAATTATTTTTATATCAAATGCAATTAAATTTTTATTTGAATTTTTTTTAAAATACGTGGGAATAAGGAAACAATATATTGGCGATATATTGTTTTCTTATTTCCGCGTTTTCCTTGTTTTCATTAAAATATTAAAGTTTAACGACAATGCTTTTGTTTTATGTTGTTGATTAAAATTGTTAATTCTACATTTTTTTTAAATAAAATCTTTATAAATTATAGTACTTATATAATGTGGGTTGTTGTGCGGTGGCAGTGTACGTGCAGTGTGCGGTGGCAGTGTGCGTAAATATCATATAGTGTCAATGGCGGATCCAGGATTTTTTAGTCTTTGAGAGAGCTAACTTTCAGACATTGAGAAAACTCTAAACTTTTGTATGTTAATACTTATTTCAAATAAGGATGCTTTGCAATAGGCTGCGATGAGTGAAACAAAAAAGCCCCAGATTTTTCGCCACCTCCCCTACCTGATAGTACCGGTAGAGCAAAGATTTAAACTATTAAAAAATCATGAAATAAATTTTGCATTTTTGTATATATAAAAAAATCCAAAATTTGTTTCATGACTTTTTAATTCGGAGATGTTATAACATCCCGGAAATAAAAAATAATAATCTACCATGAAGTGAAGAAAAAAAAAAGAAATGTGCGAACCATCTAATCCTAAGTGATGGCGAAAACCGTGATATAAGTGGTAGCGAATTATTTGTAGAACTTGAAATATTTTGGGAAATTTTCACCACAAGGTAAATGTCATCTTAAGAGTAAAAAGATAACTCAAAAAATATCAACAATCTTTTTCTAGCATCTTTACAATAATTGTAAAGATGTTAGAAAAAGATTCTTTTTCTAACATATTTACAATAATTGTAAAGATGTTAGAAAAAGATTCTTTTTCTAACATCTTTACAATTGATGTAAAGATGTTAACATCTTGATACTTTTTTAGTTATCTTTTTACTCTTAAGATGATATTTATCTGGTGGTGAAAATTTATGGTGGTGAAAATTTATCTCATGGTGAAAATTTATCTGGGTGTAAAAATTTCAATTAAAATTATTTTAAACATAATTTTAACAAACTCCCGTAACATCAGCGGCTTGAGAAAGAAGTTTTCTAAAGTTAAAGTTGGTCAAAAATTATTTGAGAAAGAACATAAGCCAGGAACGACTAAACAAATAAGATTTGGTGTTCATTGAACACAAATTGCGTAAAAATTAAAATTTTAATGAAGTCACAAATTTTTAAAAGTATAAACACAAAAAGTTAATTTCGTTCGTTTAGGACAATAATTCTAAATCTGCCTAAACAAATATTTAAAGACTTGAAGTTTACTTTATTTTCATACAACTTTATTGATCAAATTTAAATTATATGTTTTGGATATATCTTGTTTTGTTAAATTTTTAATCTTGTATACGTTTACATTTTACAATAGTTTTCATTATTTTTTGCTTTACTACAAATATACAGTGTTTACTATTCTTGTAAAATTTTTTTGGAATTTTAGTGGTTAAAGGTAATGCTTTACTGTATTGCATAGAAATATTTGACAAAATGAATATTTGAAAAAATTTATAGGCTCCATTAATATTTATAATTTTCAAAATTAATTTGAAAAGTTTTTTGCAAATAAAAGGTTAATAAATGCCACATACATGGGCGCCGGGAGGGGGGTGCAAGTAGGTGCACGTGCACCCCATAGCTTTTGAAAAAAAAGGGAAATGGAGGAAAAAAAATTTAAAAAAATCTTTTAATAATAAGAAAAAACGCAAAAAAATGGTTTTCATTTTAAATTTTTAAATTACAATTAGACATTTTACAACTTACAACTATACATAAACAGTCATTTACTTTGTTTCTAAAAGAGCAACTCAAGCCTTCTTTTTCGTTTTCCAAACTTGTCTACAACTTTGTTGATAAAATTTGGACAACTATTTATTCTTTTTTTGTGTACAGTAAGCATACATAATCCACTTAGTCTATCGTCCACTCATTGTAGATCGGTTCCAAGTTTTGACGTAATTTGCAAAAAGATTTTTTAATACTGCAGGTTGTTGCAGGAAGTGTTGCAAGAATTTATCTTCCTTGACATTTTTACTAATAACTGAATAAATCAAATATTTCTGATTTACATTGATATTATATAAATATTATACAAATAAATGAACTTTTAGGAAAAAAAAACTTGTAGATATAGCCAGCCAGCCAAGCAAGCATAAATCAATGCTAATTGTTTTTTTTTTAAACAAGCACTGTAAACAAGAAACGGTACGTTTAAGTTTAAACAAGAAGTATTTAGGCAGTTAGTAGCAGGAGAGTTAGTTAGGCAGTTAGCAGCAGTAGCACTGAGAGATTCAATAAGAAAATATCTAAGCCTTAGATTTAAAGTAAAAGAAGAGAATAGCAAAAAACTAAAATATCGTTTGTTTTTTGTTTTTTTTTAAAATTCCCACACATGAAAATGATAAATTAGGTGTTTTCTACTGAAAATTAATTAATTTATTTATTAGATTTGAGTTACTCGGTAAATTTTTTATAAGAATCAATTTTATTTTTTTTTGAAAAAATGTCAAATAAAAGGGAATGTACCACCTTAAACTAAGTAAACATTTTTTTAAATCATTTAAATTATTTGCATATATGCTTTGCATATATTTGCATATATAAGCATTTGCTATGCATATATAAGCATTTAAATTATTTGCATATATGCTATGCATATATTTGCATATATAAGCATTTGCTATGCATATATAAGCATTTAAATTATTTGCATATATGCTATGCATATATTTGCATATATAAGCATTTGCTATGCATATATAAGCATTTAAATTATTTGCATATATGCTTTCATAATTTTAACTAGAAAAATATGTTGCCGCGTAAAATAAATAAATCAGTATAAATGACTGAGTCATAAATAGTAATCGTAGATTGGGCTCAGGTATTTAGTAGGTACATGATATACAAAAAAAGTCTTTTGGCGTAGGGGGGGGGGGGCAGTGGCGTAGAAAAAAAAATCTCTTCATGGCCATATAAGAAGTATTTTTAATTGTTCGTTGTTTAGTTTTTACCTTTCTAAAAAGCTGGTTTATGGATTTCTGTAAGATTATAAAGTTTGGAAAATGGTCAGATAAGTTTTATATAAATGTTGCAGTTTTTATTTATTTGTTGATTAAAGTTGTTATTTATGGTTTAATTAATTAAAGTGAAACTATTTTTGTAATTCTTGTCAGTTTATTTATAGTTAGAAAAAAAATATTTTTAAACACAATATACAAATAAGTTCTTTAACGTCATTACGGTTATCGTATTTGCGCAAATTCACCCACAAAATATTTGCCTCATATTTCCTCGTTTGGTTTTAGGCTTTTAATTTGCTTATTAAATGCTGTTGCGTTTTTGCAAGTGTCGTTTATATCAATAAATCTATAATAAAAAATTATGCTTCATAACAAAATATTCTTATAAGTAGTTTAAAATAATAGTTTAATCTGCTTTGCAAATCGCTTTTCTCACGCAAAACATTATTTTATTGAAATGAGAATTTTAAATATATACGAGCTAAATATATATAATGTTTTATGCTTTGTATACATGTGGAAAAATGACTTGTCTCAATCTGTCTTCAAAGATATTTTTACTCCGAAACCCATCAACAAATACAATTTGAGAAATACTGATTTTTTAAATGAACCTTTCTGTCAAACGAACTTTAATCAATTTTGTATTGTCTATCGGGCACCACACCTTTGGAATAAAATTGTTTTGCCCAATTTTGATTTCGAACTACCCATTACTTTTCGTTTTTTTAAAAGTAAATTAAAAACCCTTATTTTTTCATTAGAAGACGTATTATGT